CAGCGGGATGTGGTGGCTTCCAGCGCTCTGTTAGAGCCCAATAAATGAGATTAATTAACACGAGGTCCGCGGGTGTCTTTGCAATAGCCTGTCTTTGCTTTGCTTGTGCGCTGCAAACAATGGGATTTTATTTTCCGGTCGATTAAATCGAGAGCATGAGCCTAAGCCGAAGGCGTGTGGTTTACCTTTGTCACGCGGCCGTGTATAACCGCGAAGCGTTTCTAATAATTTCTCATTTCAGGATCGGGATGGCCAGACAAGAAGGGCAGCTGCTGATCAATTTGAAAACGAACTATCCCGATACGGTGGTAGATATTGGGAAAATAGTTTTAGGAGAGAGATCCAGAAAGAAGAGCTCTTCCAGTCAGAAAAAGCAACGAAAGGAGTTTTCTAAAGCCGTGTGTGCGTTGCTGAATTCAGGAGGAGGAATGGTGAGGATGGAGAGCGAAGACAAGAACTACTGCTTTCGGAAACATGGCATCGGTCTGGACATAGAGCGGAGCCTCAGGGAGTGCATTGACGGCAGCGAGACCAGCGAATACTTCACGTGGATGCAGCAGGGGAGTCACCTGCTGCTTTTTGTTAAAACATGGACCTGTGGAGGTCCAGAGCAGAAGAGTGAAGCCACCAAGCCGCGTATCTGTAGCTTGAGCACTGGTTTGTCCCACAGGTCTATCACTTCGGTCGTCCCTATGACTCCAAGCTACGCTGCTGAATTTCTGAGGAGGAAGGCAAGCGGTGCCGCGCACCGCGGTGAGGATGGGCCAAGCACTAAGAAATCTCTGCTGAATTTGGACAGAGGGGCAAAAGTGACCCCCCTGAACACTGAGGAGCTCAACATCCTAGATGCCGCGGCCAGGTTTTTAAAGAGAGACAAGCTGATGGCTGGGGAGGTCCTGGATTTCACGGAGTCGACACATACTGAATTTAAGAACTTCTCTACAGAGAGCATCTTGGGCTACATCAGAAAAACCCTTCCAAATTACATCTCTGCCTTTGCAAACACTCAGGGTGGTTATTTATTTTTTGGAGTGAGCGATGACGGTGAAGTCATTGGAAGCCATAGCAAAGTGGAGAAAGAAGCCTTAGAAAAAACAGTAGCTGATACCGTGGGCTCGGTGGCCGTCCATCACTTCTGCAGCTCTCAGGCCGGCGTGCAGTTTCAGACTTACATCCTGAGCGTTCATGACGAAGCAGGATGCTTTCAGGGCTATGTCTGCGCCGTGCGAGTGGAGCCGTTTTGCTGCGCTGTTTTCCACGATAACCCTGAATCCTGGACGGTGACGGGTGACACGGCCGAAAGGCTGAGCGTCAGGAAGTGGACGGAGCTCATGACAGCTGCAGACCCAGGTAAAACCTGTATTTACCTCAGCGCCAACTTCATTTCTGCCTCGGTTTGTAAACTTTCAGGAGGAAAGACCAACTTCTTTTGTTCTGTGTCCTCGCCAAACCTAGAAAAGGGCCTTTGGGCTATGGCACAGTCACAGGCACCGGGGGTGAGAGTACAGCCAACTGTTCTGTGAGGCATTATTCTCTGAATTGGTCCAGCAGGACTTTTTGAAGCACTCCCAGCTGGAATAAGCTTTCCTAGGGATCCCGTATTCCCTTAAATGAAGTGGAAAGATTCAAAATTGCCCCGGAGCTTCCATTCTCTTAATGAGAATTGCAGAAAACTTTTGAAGGTGGCTGGGTCTGTTAAGATGCTCTAGGAGGGAGCGGTGTCCTGGTGGAAATCTGGCCCCTTTAGGCGCCTAAAAGGGGGTTATTTTGAAAACCAAAAAATGCCCTTACTGGTGCTGATCCCCGTGGAGTGAAATCCCCAGTGCTTGATGCACTAGCAAAGATTACTCTCTATGCCCTGGTTTGATCTGTGTAGATCAAGGATCTCGGCCCAAGTACTAAGGTAAAATAATCGTTTTAGCGGTAATGGTGGCGTCAAACTGACCTGCAACTTTTCTTGTCCTTCCCCCTGTCAAGGACTAATAACATCGGTAATGAAGTCAGCAACACTAGGGTAGCTACTCAGGCCTGGTCAGTCATCTCTTCCGAGCTTGAGGGTGAGAAAAGTCCTTTCAAGGCTGCAGCTCAGCAAGCGGCGCTGGGTATGGACGGGCTGCAAACCGCTCCTCCCTCCCGAGGCTCCCGTGCATTCCAGATGTCTGCCCAAACGTCACTTTGCACACCCGCTGGGGCTCTGCGGCTGTTCAAGGCTGCTTTGAAGGAGCAGGGGGGCAAGGGTTTGCTTGGTTTAAGCGAGGCCTGTCGTCCTGCTTCGTCGTGAAATCCTTCCCCTTCAGAAGCCGCGCCCTGCATTTTGTTCCATCGCCCCAAACGAGGCCTGTGTGGTGGCTCCTAAAGGGTTTATTCCCACCACGGGTTTGAGTAAGAGTTTTTCAGTCTTGAGGTGAAACTCGCCCTCCTTTCCTACAGGTTCCCCGTGACACAAATTTCCCTCGAGTGTGTGCCCATGGCAATGTCCTACCCTGTCCCAGCGGAGCCCCGGCCGTGCCTGGCAGCTCTGGCCTTGTGTGAAACCTCTCCTGTGGCCCTGGTCTGCGCTCGGAGGTGGGGTGTCTGGGCTCTTCAAAGGACACACTCACACCAACGGCAGCCAGGGTGCTGTTGATAGGAGGAGAACAAAGCAGCAAGGTCTTCTGGAGAAGGGCATCTGCTGAAGGGACCCGTGGGACACGTAGGTGGCTCCTGGAGGGGGCTGGTGTGCTGAACTGGCGTGTCAGGCGTCTCTTACCTGCGCACTGGGGTCTCAACCCCCTCATCCCACGCGGGGTCTAGGTCTTGCCTTTGACCTCTGAAGCCATCTCTGTGCTGTGAGCCCTCTCTCTTCCACAGCAAATCAGGATCCTGTTGGTTTGATGGAATACTGTCGTTCCTGCCTATTTAGGCAGCATTTCCTTGGGTAGGGTTGCGAAGGGAGGTTTTAAATGAATCATTTTAGTTGCTCTTTAGTGCTGGGTTTTAAAAGTTCACATGGAAGGGTTTTGATGGATACAACATACTTTTTTCTTCCCCCGAGATCTTTCAAATCTGGCTGATAAATTTGAGAATGAGCTCAGCTTGGCAAACGGTCCTCCACTTATCAAGCCGGTTTATTCAAAAGCTGGTCTCCAGTGTGTGTCTGAACTCCAAGAATGCCTCTACCCAGGTAAGCTGTTTATTCTGGATATTTTTTTGAATTTAAGATTGTATTTGACGGAATTTCTAGGAAGGTAACCTCCTATAAGTACAAGATTGTACACAAACAACTGTTAGGGTATTTAAAAGATGCAACCGCTCCAAGAATGTTCATTTCCCTGATTTTTCAGGTGTTCTGATCTCTTCTCCCGTTCTTGCTGCTGAGGGTAATCCCTAACGCACACAATTGCTGACAATATACCTGGCATCCCAGGGGTCTGAGCATTGTCTGCCCCCTGTTATGCTCAGAAGTCTTCTTATGGACAAAAGAGAGAGAGAGAATGATTTATTTCTAGCATAATTGAAATCTAAGAAGTCTAATTGAAGAATTATTATTGGTCAAGGTCTAGTTATTACAGATAAAGAAAGAAAAAGACAATAAATGAATACCACTGTGAAAAAAGCAGTAATAATAATAACAGTAGTGGCAGTAGTAGTTGTTACCTGCCCATTTCCTAGTATCCACCCCTGTTCCTGGCGTTATGCTCAGCCTTCCACTGCCACTCGGGATCCTCCAGTCTGCTGGGGGCTGGTTGGGCGACTCGTCAGCATCCCCAGTTCTCTCGTTGGGAGTACGTAGTGGATGCTGTTGGTTTCTTTTTCCTCCTCCAGGATCCGCTTGGGATCACTGGCTGTAGGTTTGCTGATGCACTTTTACACCTTGTTCTTCCTTCACTGGTCTGCAAGTTCAGCGCTCCGCTGGGGTTCAGGCAGCACGGCGTGTTTCACAGAAGTTAGATACTTACTCTCCGTTACCCTTAAAAGCAGTTGTGTTCAGCTCTGGGGCTGCATTTCTTTATCTGACCCTCTGGGAGCTATTTCTGGCCTTGGGAGCTCCTGTGCTCTGTCTCTCACTGCCTGGATTCAGCCCTGCCTCAGGTATCCCACCTCACAAGACCTCTGCTGTCTTACCAGACCTGTATTTCTGACTCTGCATCACCACGTTACAGGCAGAAAGATCTCCTCCTGTGCAGAAGACCAGCTGGTTGCTCCTGCCTGTATAAATTGATGGTTGTTCTCCACAGCCACCTGGTTATTAGAAAAAAAACCTGCTGTTGCAGGCAAACCAAGCCAAAACAGAGCCCCAAACAGCTTAACAAAATTTCAGACAAAGCAACCAGACAAGCCTCTGACCTGAGGCCTCGCAAACCCTGTTCGCTCCCCGTGGCTTGGTGCTGTGCTGCTGGTCTGCGGGGCTGGGCACCGAGTGGTAGTTGGGTGTCTGATGTCTGAGATGTTTATCTCACCCAGTAAGTTAATTCTGCCACCGTGCTCACTGCCACGGGGGGAACTTCAGGCTGGGACACACAAGGGAGAGCAAAGCTCAGCCCTTACCAGGCAGGGTGGAGAAGCTTGCCTTGGTTTTATTTTTCAGGTGAAGACTTTGATTATTTCAGAAACACTTCAGCTGTAAAAGCAGCGATGGTTGCTGAGCAACAGATACTCCCACATACCAAGCCCTGAAAGACAGGGGAATAGAAGTAGCCAAGGGCAATGTAAATCCTAGAAGGTTCCTGCAGAGCAGGGCTGTGGCTTTAGGTCGAGCTCTGAGACACGAGGGAGCGAGACAGAATTCCAGGTCCATGTATCAGAACCACTCCAGTCAGCAGCAAACAGATACTTTCTCACCAAACAGTCCCGGGATTTTTTTTTTTTCCAAATTCTGACCTATGGATGTATGTATTCATTGCTAATTTTTCTCATTATTTTTGTAATGTTGCTGTCTTTTCACATCTGTTTTCAGGATTACTGTCAGGTGATCGATGTACTGATCGGTTAGTAGTGGTTTGGCACAGGGTGTGCAATTGCTGTTTCTTGATGAGAATGTGTTTTTTACGTGGAAGGCTGTGACAGTCCGTGTGAACGTGCGCTTGCGTTTGAGATTTGTCTGTGTGTTACAGCTGTAATTTTAACCTGTGAATTTAAGAGACTCTTTGTGTTAATATCTTTTAGAAGGACCATTACTTGTTGTTTTGGAGGAGCACCAAGTTTAGCATTGGGATGAGAGGTGTCTTCACATATTCCCCTATATTTCATAGGAATGTGTGTCTATACATCCAGAGACTGATGGTGCTCCGAGGTGCCGTTGCCCTGCTGCGTGAGCTGTGTTTCACCAGGCAGGAGGGCTGCTCCACCTCCTTCCACCACCGGTCTCTCACGGTGGCAGCAGCATATCTGTCAGAGGAATACCTCAGTAATGAGAAGGCGGATAGAAAGGAGGCAGATCCCTCCAAAGAGACTTTTTCTTCTTCCATTTCGAAGTCAAGCGTGCCTGAAGCATAGACTTTATATCTCTTTTATTCACATTAAAAATCCTGACGGATTTACCACCAGGTATCAGGGGAATG